AGTAAGCAGTTCAGTGATAAGTATTTGTTGCCCGACACAGCACTGCTATTTTAAGCTGACAGAGAATATATAATTCATCCTTTATACAGTAACTATAGATAGGGGATTCAAAAATGCTCTTTCCAGTTGGGTTTCCCTGCAAACCATGAAACGTAAGAAGAAAGTTAGCCTCCGATATTTTTCATCAGTATGATCATACCAATAAATGTTTTAAAGGGACTGTGAGTGTAATGTTTAAGTGACCCTCCATGCAAACACAACAATGCCCGATTTAAAACGATACTTTTAAAGCTTTGTCTGATCAAGTATGAATTAGATATCAAAGTTTATAATGTGAAAACTGATAAATTGGTGGTTTCTCTTCAAAAGCGAATTGTGCATTTCTACTGCAGGAAAAACATTCGTGAATTATCAGAATAAAACACCTTTTCACCTAGCAAAACCTTCCACATTATTGATCAGATAAAGGTTTCAAGGGTACCGCTGTAAATCGGGAATTTACATCCTTGCATGGAGGGTCAATTGAAATTACGCTTAAAGACCCTTTAGGTTTTAAAAGAACCTTAGAAGAACGTCATGTTTCTGAACATGTTTGTCATAAAACAATAGCTAGCTATGTCTCTACTTTCTGGAAATATAAATGCTTTACGTTATAAGTTGTTATTACTGAAGTGGTGTCAATGATTTACTAGATTTACTTCTGCGGATACACTGGTGAGGACGCACTTATAAGAACAGAGCGAAGGACGCACAAAATGTAACATAAACAAATATTCATTTAAACATACAAACATATTTATAGCTGCTTTACATTTATCAGATAAACTAGTTTTTCTAAAAAAATTTAAAAACTATTTTTATTTTTTATTTATTTATGTGTTTATTACTGTAACGGAAACACTTCAACATAACATAATTAAAGTATCATGCAGTTGCATTATTTCTTTTTTTTTGCATTTTTTATATTTTTATATTTGAATAAATGTTATGTAAAACCCTATCTAATATTGCTTATAGTTAGATTTATCGTGTTGTGAAAATTAGAGGTATGTTTTTTTTTGTACTGACATAAAATAACAAATAATAACAAATTAATAAACATGTTACACTTTTTTGTTTAATCTGTATCCTCTCACCCTATGTTCTTTTTTACCTATTAAGGTAGTGTATACACGATTTGAAAAAAATAATAATTGCTTTAGTTTTAAACTAACTAATTTTAACTGATATAAATTATATATTTATTTTAATAACACATCTTCCGTTCATTGACTTTGGCAGTTTTTTTTCTTTAAAAAAACATCTGTATTTCAACCTTGATTTCAAACATTAGAAATACATTCAAGCCTTAGGATTTTTTTTAAGGTGTGTGTAACTTTTTTCAATTCTTGTTTGAAAAAGTCCATGGCCGCTGATAATAAAGACGATAGCTTTACGAAATATGTTACCTAATGCAGAATAGAAAACATGTACATTGCATGTCCTGGTTATATCTGTATATATACAGGGTGAGTAAAAAAAGTGTGATTACCGGCGCCTGGTGCAAAATTGTTCATTTTTTTGTGGCAACTCTTGCAAATTGCAAATTTTCTCATTACAATTTTGCGAATTTTCTGAGATTTGGTTAATCAATATTTATAAAATTTTAGATCTCAATTGAAATAATTAATATACACATTTTTGCTTTCCTAAACTTTTGATTTTGAGAGAAAAAAGGTTCGCGGATTTTTTTTTGGGCCATTGCAATACAAATATTTCAAAAAACATTAAAAGAACACCTTACAGATGAGTCGCACAAAAAAGGTACAATTTTGCACCAGGCGCTTCAAATCACATTTTTTTGACTCACCCTGTATATATATATATATATATATAAATATAAAGTAGTATATAATTTCTGTTTTCCTTAATGTCCGACCATATTTCATCCTTTAGCCGATGTGCATCATATGTTGATGGGGAACCCGGTACAACCACGTGAATATTATTAGCTTGGCTCTCTATCTTTAAGATTGTACCCTCCCGTGCAGCTTTATGCGCTCCCAGTTGGTTCATAAATTATTGACAAACATTTGCCCTCCGCTTCAACAATATCAGTTTTACCTGTTTTTTTGAAAAAATTCTCATAAAGCTTAATTAAGTTGTGCCTGAAAGCTTTTCTGAAAAATGTCATTTTTTACAATAATAAAACAAAAACAGACCAGAGTAAATTAGTTAGAATTTATTTATATATTAGTAACTGGCACATATTAATAAATATATTGTTAGTTTGTCTTTTTGTTTTAAATACCTTGAGAAGAGCAATGTATTATAATATTATTAATCTTGTTATTCATTCTAATTATAATTGTCGGGTTTAAATAAAACGAATAACGATTTTTGTCTAGAAAATAACTAAAGTACAACATTTCCTGGGCAACCATGTTGGTAAATTATTAAAGTTAGAACGCTATTAGTTTCCTGGTTAGTAACAGTGATTTTTTCTTCAGAATTCCTTCCCGAAATAAAAACAATTTGCTTTTGCTAATTTCTGGTTTGATCTGTGTAAAGTTAGTTACATAATACAAGAACTGTGTATAAAGTGAGTGGGGTTTAAATACAATATTATTATTATTGCAAAAAGTAAGAACAAAAAAGCATGTATTAATAATTTTGTAATGAGAAAAAGATTAGTTTTTTATCTTGTGCACTTCAGTGATGCAGTGTACAGTGTACAAATTAAACTGTACAGTAATGCAGTGTACAATGTACACATTTTACTGTACAGTAATGCAGCATACACAATAAACTGAATAAACTGTAAATTAATGCAGTGTACACATTAAACTGTACAGTAATGCAGTGTACTCATTAAACTGTACAGTAATGCAGTGTACTCATTAAACTGTACAATAATGCAGTGTACACATTAAACTGTACAGTAATGCATTGTACACATTAAACTGTACAGTAATGTAGTGTACATATTAAACTGTACAGTAATGAAGTGTACATATTAAACCGTACAAAAATGCATTGTACATATTAAACTGTACAATAATGTAGTGTACATATTAAACCGTACAGTAATGCATTGCACATATTAAATTCTACAGTAATGCAGTGTACACATTAAACTGTACAGTAATGCAGTATACACATATACTGTACAATAATGCAGTGTACACATTAAACTGTACAGTAATGCAGTATACACCAAATAGATTATCAAGTACAATAGGTGGCAACAGAGAAATGAACAAATTATACACAACGTCAAAAGTGTCAAATATAACAAAGAAAACGAAATTTTCTCATTTTAGGTGACATGTTTTCCAAGATTAATAAAAAAATGTAAAAACAGAAACTAAAGAACACATACAATTGCACTTATTTTACTGTAAGAAAAACACTTTATTCTAAAATTATCACAATTATTGATAATTTTGTCGGACACAAAAACTGAATTGACACGTTGCCATCTATTGTATTTCACAATCTATTTGGTGCACACATTAAACTGTACAATAATTCAGTGTACACATTAAACTGTACAGTAATGCATTGTACACATTAAATTGTACAGTATTACAGTGTACACATTTAACTTTACAGTAATGCAGTTTACACATAATCCTTTATAATTTGCTAGCATAAGAAAAATCGACACCATCGCGTTTGTTTCTGAATCAAAGTTGTTTATGCAACAGCTGTAGGTTGCATAACTGAAGGTTTATCCCTTGTAAAGGTTCCACTGCGCTGACGATACTCAACATGTTCGGTTATCTTCAAACCATTGCTACTGGTTGATATTTTTCCATGGGAGTAACTCCCATTGGACGTTCCATTGGTGTAGTTACCATTGGATATGGTTCCGTTTGTATAACTTCCATTGGACATGGTTCCATTGGTCGACTCTGTTTGTGAGGAGACCCATGTGTCTCCTTTAACCTTTATAGAAATTTAAAGATTAAAATTTTATTAATTTTTTTTTTTTTTTAATTCGGTTTACCTTTCCGGAGTAAGTGTATGGAGAATGCTTGATTCCAAAAGCAAACTCAGGTTTCTTATCCTTTACTTCAACCTAGGAAGATAATTATTTTAGGATATCTTAGCATTATATGTATATACAGAGCGTCCCATATCATATTAGATTATTAACGCGCGCCAAAATACGCACATAATATTAAAATTATAAATTAGCAATATACAATTTTTTAAAATGATTTGTTCTTTTTAAATTTTCTGACTAGTACCGGAAAACATAATTTAAAGCTATAACACAATCCAATATTAGGTGGGACACTTTGTAGGTCTAGCAGTGCATTAGCTTAGGTTATACATTTAGGCAATACGAAACTTTAATAATTTGCATTTTTACTTCCAATAACACACTTACATTTAAACCCCTAATTTCCAGTAGCTTCAGAGTGTTAATGGGGTTTTAGGTACTCCAAGGAGTTAGTTTGATCCTTCATCTGTTGGTTAGATTGTTCAGCTGACAGTTGGTTAGTTTCTTATTTCAACAAACATCCAGTTGGGTTTATCACCCGAGGCATAGTTGGTTTAATTAGTAAAATGTTAATTAGAAAAATGCTTAGCTAGTTCTATATTCGCTTTATCAGGACATATGCTCAACATGTTTTATTAACTCACGTTAAACCTGCTTCATCAGCTGAGTTGTAACAATTGTTTCATCAGCTGATTTTTAAAAATTGTTTCATCAGCTGATTTGAAACAATTGTTTCATCAACTGATTTTTAACAATTGTTTCATCAGCAGATTTTTAAAAATTTGTTCATCAGCTGATTTGTAACAATTGTTTCATCAGCTGATTTTTAAAAATTGTTTCATCAGCTGATTTGTAACAATTGTTTCATCAGCTGATTTGTAACAATTGTTTCATCAACTGAAGTTCAACAAGTTTCGTCGATATGATCGTTTCTATCAAAAACAGTTGAAAATTAGTAGAATTTATAAAATGTACTATTATTAACCTTGCACCTAATTACAATGCAAAGTTATAACACAAATTCTATTCCAGTTTATGAGTATAATTACAATCAATCAATATCTCAAGTTGAATAAAAGCTATAATTTAGACTAGAATTAAGTAAAGGAACACAGTAGAGTTATAATAAAACACACATTTTCAAAATATATTAGGAAAATGTTTGCAATAATCTAGAATGAGTGAGGCATCTTTCAGGGGAGTGATATAATCTACAGAGGAGTGCTAAATCCTACAGGGGAATGCTAAATCCTACAGGGGAGTGCTAAACTCTACAGGGGAGTTCAACATTCTACAGGAGAGTGCAAAATCTTAAAGGGGAGCGATGTAATCTGGTTAGTAGTGATTGATCCTACAGGGGAGTCTTGAATCCAATAGGGAAGTGATATAATACTAAAAGGGGAGTAATAAAATCCTAAAGGGAGGGCCAGATCCTACTGGGGAGTGCAACATCCTACAGTAGAGTGATATAATCTAATAAGAAGTGTCACATTCTACTTTAGAGTGCTACATCCTATTGGATAGTGATCCATTCGAGAGGTGTGTGCCATGTCCTACAGGGAAGTGCTACAGAATACAGGAGAGTGCCACATTCTACATTTGAGTGCTACATCCTACAGGGGATGTATCATCCTAAAGATAAGTGTTACATTCAAAAGGGTAGTGATGCATCCTAAAGGAGAGTGATACATCCTAAAGGAGAGCGCTACATTTATTAGGTAAGTGCTACAATCATAATGGGTGTGCTATATTCATTATGGGATTGCTAAATGCATCAGGGGTTGCTAATCCTACAAGGGAGTCCTACAGTCAACCGGAAGTCAAGGGAGTGATGGTTGGATTAGTATGGTAGAGGCCTACAATGAACTACAGTTGATGGTTGGATTAGTATGATAGAGGCCTACAATGAACTCAATTTGAAAGTTGTATTAGTATGGTAGAGGCCTACAATGAACTCCATTTGATGGTTGGATTAGTATGGTAGAGGCCTACAATGAACCACAGTTGATGGCTGGATTAGTAAGGTAGTGGCCTACAATAAACTCCATTTAATGGTTTAAATACTATGGTAAAGAGGCCTACAATAAACTCCATTTGATGATTGGATTAGTATGGTAGTGGCCTACAAAAAACTCCATAATTAATGGTTGAAATACTATGGTAGAGGCCTACAATGAACTCCACAATGAAATCCATTTGATGTTGGATTAGTAAGGTAGAGGCCTACAATGAACTCCACAATGAACTCCATTTGATGGTTGGATTAGTAAGGTAGAGGTCTACAATGAACTCCATTTGATGGTTTAGGAGTGAAAACATACTGAGAATGCCTGAAGAAATACATTTTCATCACAATCAGATTTAAAATCAACAGAACCATATAAAAGGCCGGGTTAGTAGCGTCTTATTTTAAAAGCATTTAACTGGAAGGAGGGGGGGGGGGGGGGTTTTTGGTCCGACAGCCAGGATTTGTCTTAAGTTGTTACATTGTATTTTGCCCTAAATTATTGACTTCAAAAAAGCTAATATAGATTAAATGGTCACTATTATTCTCTCAAAAATTTAAGTTGAAAAAAGAGAATTTGGAAATATTCAAAAAATTATTATTTATGTATTTCCCTGACTCCAAAACTGTATTCTGGTTGACTAGTGCTCAAATTTATCTTCAAATCAGCAAAAACGTTAGTTAAGTTCATGAATACTTGCCTCAATTAAATTTGTTTAATTTTTATGTCGTTTGATCACAAAAGTACTTTATTGAAATTTTGCTATAAAGGCGATAAAATTAAAAACGTTTGATTTTTAGTTATTTTTTGAATTGCTTGTGATTGATTTTGTGTTTCAATAAAGTTTTCTAAAGACCAAGATGGTTTTTAATTTAGGAAAACGTTTTTTATGATCACTTTTTCAGCTGCATAAGCTCCAGGACCAGGTTTCATTGTATTATCAGAGGGTTCATTATACCTTAACCACCAGTAGGAATAGTAAAACATTCTTTAATTGAATAGTTTTTTGTTTATTACACTATAGTAAATTCATTTTTGAAACAGAAAAGAAGTGATTCAATTTATTAATTTGATTTTCTGTATTTTTGATTAGATAGTTGATTGATTAATTGGTTATTTGGTTAGGTTTCCTCATGCTGAGAGAATAGGCGGGAGATTTAGTCTTGTACATGTTAGTATCACTCAACTGCAGTACAGTACATATATAGATTAGTATTAGTTGTTAGCAGTAGAAATGCACATATGTAAAGGAACTTTCAACATAATATAATTAAACCACAGTGAAAAGCTTAATTAAGTACACAAATCAAATTCAACCTTTAAATCGTCATATTAATAGTGTTTTATAACATCATGAAAGTCTTATTCTTTTTGGGTAACCCTGTACTTGTTTATTGAGCCCCTACCTCGTAAGCTCCTGGAGCTGGAGTAGAAAACTTCTTTAGTTCCTTAGCTCTACTTGCTAAACTGTAAGCTGGAGAATCCTTAGTAGCTTCAACAGTGTATGCATTGGGAGCTGTAAAATGTTCAATACAGGAACAGAAATAAAGACGATGCGAAAAATTTATTCATTAATTGGAACTATTTTTGTACATATTTATTTGCTTTATAAGAATTAAAAAAACCGTTAACAATGAGCTAATCATATTTTTTCATTCTTTTAAAAATCTACCACTTTTTTTTTTTTTTGGCACAGAAATTTTAACCCAGAAACATCATACAAGCTATACTTAAAAAATAATACGCTAAGTTGTGCAGCTTATCTCTATCTCAATCAAAAGTTCCTGGCTTGGAAAAGTTCTCTAATGTATTTATAAATATTGGACTTGGAAAGCTATTAATCTATAAATATTGGATTGGAAGGCTATAAATCTATAAATATTTGACCTGGAGAGCTATAAATCTATGAATATTGGACCTGGAGAGCTATAAATCTATGAATATTGGACCTGGAGAGCTATAAATCTATGAATATTGGACCTGGAGAGCTATAAATCTATCAATATTGGACCTGGAGAGCTATAAATCTATGAATATTTGACCTGGAGAGCTAGAAATCTATGAATATTGGACTTGAAAGGCTAGAAATCTATGAATATTGGACTTGGAGAGCTAGACATCTATGAATATTGGACCTGGAGAGCTAGAAATCTATGAATATTAGACTTGGAAGGCTAGAAATCTATGAATATTGGACTTGGAGAGCTAGAAATCAATGAATATTGGACCTAGAGAGCTATAAATCTATACATATTGGACCTGGAGAGCTATCTATGAATATTGGACTTGGAAAGCTATAAATCAATGAATATTGGACCTGGAGAGCTATAAATCTATGAATATTGGACCTGGAAAGCTATAAATCTATGAATATTGGACCTGGAGAGCTAGAAATCTATGAATATTAGACTTGGAATGCTAGAAATCTATGAATATTGGACATGGAGAGCTAGAAATCTATGAATATTGGACCTGGAGAGCTATAAATCTATGAATATTGGACCTGGAGAGCTAGAAATCTTCTTGATATCAGGCTTGATTCCAAAAGAGAATTTAGCACTGGAAGCATTTACCTCCTTCAAGCCAAGCATTTAATTATTTTTCAAAAAAGAAAACAGCAAAAAAATCTTTTTCACAAAAAAAAACAATTGTTAAATGATTAATTAAATAATTTCCTTGTCAGCGTTTTCAGGATTATAGGCGCCTGAAAATAAAATTGATTATTATCTCTTCAGAATACCATCACCACAAATTAAAATATTATCCTTAAATCCGTTCATTGTACAGTCACGGTAAACTAAAGGTCCCGTTAAAAAGTCCAAGCGAGACTTAACTTTAGAAAACCCCTTTCATTCAATAACTGTAGATTTCTCGTATTTGCTATTTTATGCCTGTACAGTGTACAGTGTACAGTGTACATTGTACAGTGTACAGTGTACAGTGTACAGTGTGCAGTGTACATTGTACAGTGTACAGTGTACAGTATACAGTATACAGTGTACAGTGTACAGTGTACAGTGTACAGTGTACAGTGAACAGTGTACTGTGTACAATGTACAGTGTACACTGTACATACCTGGAGCTGGGGTTTGGAACTTCTTTGGTTCCTTTGGTTTAATATGAAGACTTGAAGCTTGTGAAGATTCTTTACCTAAATTTAAGTTTTGAATTACTTAGAGAATATAAAGATCCAAATACAAGCCAATATTGTTGTATTTATCAAAATGTTTTATGGTCTTTTTTACTTTAATCAAATGAAGAAAACATTGTTTTGTTTTGACTTGGAAATGGATGTAAATATTTGTAAAAATTTAACTTATAGAGTCTAAACATAGGTCCAAACAACACAAATAATTCGCAAATAAGAATCTATTTAATCTTATATTTAGATGAATGGACCTTTGTTTTTGTTTTTTTTAAGATTAGTTTTTATATTGTTAGTTCCCAGTTAAAAACTAAAATAATTTGAGACTAATTTCTGTAATGAAACCAATTAAAAAGACAAATTTGTAGAAAATTTAAAAAAAACATGAAAATTTGTAAGAAAATGATAATAAAAAAGTATTTGACAAAAAAAATACTATTTCATGGCTTAAAAATAAAAAAAATAACTAAACCCTTTTTCACAGCCTTGACATTTAACTATAGAAAAGAGACATACAGAATTACTAAAATAGAATATCTATCTCAAGGAAATTGCAGATGTCAGTATTAGTTGTTAGTAGTTAATGTATTTGGAAAAATAGCAAGAAGAAAGGAGGATGTAAATTGTGTCAAATCTTCTGTTCTGATCTTGCTATTGACCCATTGTTAATATTTACTAACAATCTTCTGGACGATATGTGTTTGGTGCTGGAGTACTGAACGGTGAAGCTTCCTTTAGTCTTGTACCAATAGTTATACTCATTCCACCAGCAAGGTATTCTTCTCCCTTCTCAGAATCATATGCATTTGGTGCAGGGGTGGAGAAGTTTAATTTTAACTCAGGTCTTAGCCCGAAACTATGGTGTGGTGCTCCATTTAAAAGACGATCTGCCTTTTCAGGATTATACGTTCCTGGAGCAGGGGCTATTGTGTTCATCTTAATTTCAGGTTTAAGACCAAAGCTGTGGTGGGGAGCTCCATTTAAGAATTGATCAGCTTTCTCTGGGTCATAAGTTCCAGGTGCTGGGGCAACTGAGTTGATTTTCTGTTCCGGTTTGAGACCAAAAATATGTTTGGGTGCTCCGTTTAAAAGACGATCTGCCTTCTCTGGATTATAAGTTCCTGGAGCGGGAGCTACGGAGTTTATCTTTTGCTCGGGCTTAAGCCCAAAGCTGTGGTGGGGCGCTCCATTTAATAGCCGGTCAGCTTTTTCGGGGTCGTAGGTTCCAGGTGCTGGGGAAACTGAGTTAATCTTTAATTCAGGTTTCAAACCAAATGTTTGATGTGGAGAAGAATGGAGATACTTTTCACCCTTCTCTGTATCATAGGTTCCAGGGGCTGGAGCAACTGAGTTTATCTTTAATTCAGGTTTCAGACCAAATGTCTGATGTGGAGAAGAATGGAGATATTTTTCAGCCTTCTCTGTATCATAGGTTCCAGGAGCTGGAGCAACAGAGTTCATCTTTAATTCAGGCTTAAGACCAAATGTCTGATGTGGAGAGGAATGGAGATATTTTTCACTCTTCTCTGTATCATAGGTTCCAGGAGCTGGAGCAACAGAGTTCATCTTTAATTCAGGCTTCAGACCAAATGTCTGATGTGGAGAAGAATGGAGATATTTTTCACTCTTCTCTGTATCATAGGTTCCAGGAGCCGGAGCAACTGAGTTTATCTTTAATTCAGGCTTCAGACCAAATGTTTGATGAGGAGAAGAATGAAGATACTTTTCACCTTTCTCTGTATCATAGGTTCCAGGGGCTGGAGCAACAGAGTTTATCTTTAATTCAGGTTTCAAACCAAATGTCTGATGTGGAGAAGAATGAAGATACTTTTCACCTTTCTCTGTATCATAGGTTCCAGGAGCTGGAGCAACTGAGTTCATCTTTAATTCAGGTTTTAGACCAAATGTTTGATGTGGAGAAGAATGGAGATACTTTTCACCTTTCTCTGTATCATAGGTTCCAGGAGCTGGAGCAACTGAGTTCATCTTTAATTCAGGTTTTAGACCAAATGTTTGATGTGGAGAAGAATGGAGATATTTTTCACCCTTCTCTGTATCATAGGTTCCAGGAGCTGGAGCAACGGAGTTCATCTTTATTTCAGTTCTATGACCGAAGGTTTGTTGTGGAGCAGTGTTTAGATATTTGTCTGATTTCTCTGGTGTATAGGTTCCAGGAGCTGGAGTAGTTGGTAATCTGTCCTCTCGACCTCGTCCACAAATAGTTTGAGCATAACCACAGTCTTTTCCTAGAAGCAGATCCTGGTTAGTTTTAACTAAAAGTAGTGAATTTAAACTTTAGTTTGTGCATTTAAATAATTTTAAATTTAAACTACTTCAGTTCTCTTTTACGTATAACTTTAATTCATTTGTTTAAAAAAATATTCTATTCATTTTAGGTATTTATACCAGACATAAACATGCATTTTAAATGAAAAAAATACACTCAGTCATGATAAAATAATAGTAAAGAACAAAAAACAGAAATTATACGGTTTGTGAAAAAATAGGTTTAATGTGCTGCTTGTAAATATGACTAAATACATCTATCTAATAAAGTGTTACAAACCAAAATTAAGTAGAACTACTTTTAACAACTGTGCATGTTTATTGTTCAACTGATTTAGCAACAGCTTTTCTAAAAGATAATCCTTAGAAAAAAACATCTACTTTTTAATTGGAAAAGCTGTTGTATTGTATTCATTAAATTATTTAAGAAATGATTTACTAGGTTCTAACTAGTATAATGCAAACATGCATGATTATGATACTAACACTCTTCTACTCTGTATGCTGATGGGGAAGGAGTGATGTAAGCGTCTGGAGACTTTAGCTTCTGTCCTATAGATATATTAGGCCCAGTACAAAGATACTTCTCAGAGTTCTCCGGTAAGTAAGCATTGGGCGATGGTGTAACATAGTGTGGAGCATCCGCAAGTCTAACTCCCATTGAATGTGAAATATGTTCGGAAAGGTATTTTTCTCCTTTCTCTGCATCATATGTACCAGGAGCAGGGGTGATATACTTCTTGGGATCTTGAAGCTTCAATCCAATTGAAGGAGCTGGTTTTTCAGATAGATATTTTTCCCCTTTCTCAGCATCATATGTACCAGGAGCCGGGGTAAGATACTTTTTGGGATCATTAAGTCTAACTCCCATCGAATGGGATATATGTTCTGAAAGATATTTTTCTCCTTTCTCAGCATCGTATGTACCAGGAGCAGGGGTAAGATACTTCTTAGCATCATTAAGTCTAACTCCCATGGAATGGGATATATGTTCTGAAAGATATTTTTCTCCTTTCTCAGCATCGTATGTACCAGGAGCAGGGGTAAGATACTTCTTAGCTTCATTAAGTCTCACCCCCATCGAATGGGATATATGTTCTGAAAGATATTTTTCTCCCTTCTCTGCATCATATGTACCAGGAGCAGGGGTGATATACTTCTTGGGATCTTGTAGCTTTAATCCAATTGAAGGAGCAGGTTTTTCAGATAGATATTTTTCTCCCTTCTCAGCATCATATGTACCAGGAGCAGGAGTTAAATACATTTTAGGGTCTGCAGGTTTTATTCCCATCGAATGAGAAATATGTTCTGAAAGGTATTTTTCTCCTTTCTCTGCATCATATGTACCAGGAGCAGGGGTGATATACTTCTTGGGATCTTGTAGCTTCAATCCAATTGAAGGAGCTGGTTTTTCAGATAGATATTTTTCTCCTTTCTCTGCATCATATGTACCAGGGGCTGGGGTAAGATACTTTTTAGCATCTTCAAGTCTAACTCCCATCGAATGAGAGATATGCTCAGAAAGATATTTTTCTCCTTTCTCTGCATCATATGTACCAGGAGCAGGGGTTATATACTTCTTGGGATCTTGTAGCTTTAATCCGATTGAAGGAGCAGGTTTTTCAGATAGATATTTTTCTCCTTTCTCGGCATCATATGTACCAGGAGCAGGGGTGATGTAAGGTTTTGGATCTGAGACTCTAACACCTATGCTCTGACCAGCATTAGCTGATTTCAATCCTATAACTTATCATCTTATATCACAGTTTAGAGAACATTTTATAAAATTCAGGACAAACTGAAAACGAAACAAAGGCTTATTTGAAAAAGTAAAATAAAATTTTGTGGAAGATAATTTTCTTTTTTAACTTTACCTTTTGATGTAAGACCTGATGTGTTGTAAACATTAGGGGCAGGGGAGCAGGATTCAACCTATATACAGCCAAGATAAAGAACTAATCATTTGAATATAACATTTTCAAATGATTGTATATAAAAAAGTATTGATTTTAAATGCATTTAAACCGAATATCAACACTAAAATTTATAGAGTCAAGATTTACAGTCAAAATGTTTGACTGTAAATATTGAAAATGCATAATATCTTGAAGGTTTAATTTTATAATTGCATCATAATTGTGACCTTCTAATATTTGACTTCAATTCATGCAAAACCTTTGCTATAACAAACTTTTAGTTTAGTGAGCAGAGCTATTAAATAAACTACTAGTTGGTATACCCAGCATTGCCCAGGTTTATATTACTATCCAGTCGTAGTTACTCCCGCCGTTTACCCGCACTTGGTAATCGCTTGCCAGGATCTTAAATTTCCTAACCTGCATTTCTTGCAAAGCCTTATGGTGTTTGATATTTCAAACTATCAGAACTAACAGAATTTATAGTTCAAAATATTGAAAGCCCATGACACGAACGGCACATCACATGGTGCTTGCTGTATTTTAGGGTGAAGGACTTTGGTAAGAAATAATGTTATGTCTCAATTACAAGATTCAAGCTGAGGACAAAATAATTGACTTTTCAAATTACCTTAGTTTTGGGTTTGCTACCAAAGGTATAGGCCGGTGCCTTAATCTTGGTAGATTCATTCACATGTACATCTAGAATATAATTACCTTTATATTAGAGAATCGTTCAGAAAGTTCAGAAGGGGGTATATATATAATACTTATTTTTAGGCAAAATATCTCTACTTTTTTACTCAATTAAAACAATTATCTAAAATATTTAAAGTTAAAAAAAATATATTTTAGAAAAAAAATGATTCAATAAAAGAGTTCAAATTTGATTAAAATTCTTACTTCCAAAAAGAGATGGCAAGGCTATCGCTGCCGGTCCAGGACCGGAGAACTCGGCTGCTATTGGTCCACGCCTCTTATGAGGTGTCCATGTACCACCAGGGCCTCCCATATTAGCTGATTAGCAGCTGATTAACAGCTGATTATTGTGCTTTTATTAAAACCCAATCAAATTTTTAAATTAGAATATAAAGGAAAATAAAGGGTAAATAATTATCAAATTTTAAAATAAGGTAAAAAATCAGTGGGTGAAAATAAAAAATAACAAAACTCAAAAATGAATAAAAGAATAAATAAAAAACTGTGCCTAAATATTGAAGGGTGTGAGAGAAACTGAAAAATCGAAAATGTATTAACAGCATATATCTATATAAATTAAATGAAGTTATCCACATTCCACAACATAAATAAATAAAACATAATCAAATAAAGAAAATGTTATTGGGGAAAATAAAAAAAAAAATTTTCCAAGAGGGAATATTTTTCACGAAAAGGGGAAAATATCGTTATCAAAAGTCATTGGAATATTGAAAATTGATTAAAGATTTCAATATGAATAGTTTGTTTCAACAAATACCAATCAGAACAAAATTATCAAACATTATATTTTCAATTGGCTCATATTAAATTTTCTTTTGTGTTTTGTTTTTAGCTGGACCATCATACATTATTATTTTGTATTTGTGTTTAAAAATAAATACTATAACTATAAAATAAACAAAAAATTACAAAAATGTTTTAAGAACTTATATATATAAATTTGGCTTGTCTGTTTGGGTGTCTGTCTGTTTGTACCCAATAAACGTCAAAACGGCTGAACCGATCGGGCCCAAATTTTTTATGGGACATCACGTGACCACAGGGAAGGTTTATGAATAATAAAAATAAAAAAATGTGTAATAAAGGTTTTTAATTTTGTAAAAAAAACAGCTGAATAATTGTCATCTTTGCTCTTCCTTTCTTTTAACTTATTCCGCTGTTTATTGGTTAACCCTGTAATTATTACAATGATATTTGAGAAAAATAGTTTATTAATAAAAAGGAAGTTGAATTGCAGTCAGGTCTCATTTAAAAAAATATAATTGTTAACCCACATTGCAGAACCAATTCAACTATTATTTCCGCTTAGAAAGGTTCCTCCCAAACCTCTGTTTTAAAGCAGTATGCTTGAAAGCATGACACGTAAAAAATGCATGGTTCGACCTTGCATGCATGAGGGATGCAAAATAATGTAATTAGAATCTTGTTTCACTCATCTTGCAAAGAAAACCGTGCATGATTTGAATGTTGATAATGGTAGTCCTGTGGTGGACGCTTAAAAAATTATTTTTAAAAATGATTCAGAATATTTTCTCCCTGTGGTTCATGGACAAACCTTCTCCATTGCTTAATTCTGTAATTATAATTTTACCATTTGCTTGCTTCTATCTATATATATAATATATATATGCTCATGGTTTGTTTTAAACTATATTCCATAAAAGGAAGGTTCCAGAGAAAACCTCTAAACTTTGTGCTTACTGAAACTAAACTTGACACTTGGCACACACTGAACTAAACAGAAACTTCTAATTTTAGGACAATAATGAATAAATTTGAATAAAAACTTTTATTGACAGATCTTCAAATGTTCAGACAGAGATGAAAAAAAATCGAAAAATAAAAAATTGATTTGAATTGATTTGAAACTTTTATTTTACCGAAACAAAGTTTGACTGAAACTTTTGGTTGGTTTATATTAACAAGTACTTTGTTTTAAAGGGAGTGTTCGCGAAAAATGAAAGGGGGTATAGGCTTAGTGCGACAAAAAAGCGCTTTTGATCGCTACTAATCTTACTTCTATCTGTTGCGTCTATAAGGAGAAAATTGTTAAAGACGTCTCATACCGAATTGGTTGCAGAAGGTTTCCATGCTCAATATCCTCCTTAAACAAACTAACTTCAAGCAGTAGTACTTCATCGATAGATAGATAGATAGATAGATAGATAGATAGATAGATAGATAGATAGATAGATATATAGATAGATAGATAGATAGATAGATAGAAAGATAGTTAAGGAAGTTAAATATCTGTATTCATGAGTATCATACAAACATATAGATTTTAACCAAAAAGATTTTTATTAAAATACAAAATTTATGAGAATGGTTGTTAAATTATAAAGTATAAGTGTTTGTAAAGTGTAAGGTAGGATTGTAACAAGATATGCTTTTCTCCGGGTATTGATTAAACATCAGACCTGAAGCAACATAAACCCTAGGGTTAGGGTTGGGGACACAAATATTAGAAACTGATATATTGGGAGGCCAGCTGGGGGAGAATAATGAAAAATCGTTTGAAGACGTATTCAAATTTATAAAAAATAAGAAATTCAATATAATATAAAGAAATAATTGATTCTAACATTGATTTATCGTGAAAATTTCAATTCAGAAATATGTTCCTAAACATATAATAAGTTTACTGTAGATTTTTTTGCATTTTTTTTCGTCGTTTTTTAATAATTTAAAAAACTTGATTCTCAAAACGAAAAAACTTGATTCTCAAAACGTAACCACCCAAATGGATGATTTTGAACGTCGACTTTGCGTTCAAACTTCAAACTCAGTAATTATACATCATTATGAAAGGCTTTTTAGTTCTCAAATTAATTCTAAAAAAATGTTTCCACTGAATCTTAACATAGGGGATAAAAAACAATGTCTGTGTTGTTTCTAAATATGAAGATAATACAACTTGAATAAAACGATTGAATTGAATTTTTTTCTATCTATATATAAATTTGGCTTGTCTGTCTATTTGTTTGTTTGTATCCAACAAACGTCAAAACCGATCGGGCCCAATTTTTTTGTGGGGCATCACGTGACCACAGGGAAGGTTTACGAATGATAAAAATTAAAAAAAATGTGTTTTAAAGGTTTTTGATTTTGTAAAAAAATTTAAATTCTTAAAATTCAGCGATTTTTTTTTAAAAATCCGCGAAATTTTTTTCTTCTTTGTTTTACAATGCAAACAAAAAAAAATGTTTACAATTTATATAGAAAATGGGCGCGAAGCGCCCTAAAAGCCTAGTTTTGAATATTTCTCTTGATCAAGGTTCAGTCTATTTAGAGAACAGGAAACATGTTGGAAACTTGTATTCGTATCTTTAATTGAATCACTTAGCGAGGTATTTCAGGGCGAAGCTGAAAACTTTGATAGACACCCCTCTACGAGCTATTTGAACAATATCCATCTTGTATTTCAGGTTGAAGCTGAAAACTTTGATAGAGACCCCTCTACGAGCTATTTGAAAAATATCCATCTTGTATTAAACTTTGATAGAGACCCCTCTACGAGATATTTGAACAATATCCATCTTGTATTTCAGGGTGAAGCTGAAAACTTTGATAGACACCCCTCTACGAGATATTTGAACAATATCCGTCTTGTATTGAGACTTGGCCGACTTTAAGTGATGCCTTTGTCTTTTGTTCAACCCTTTTTTTGTAGCCTGAGTTGTGAAAAAATACTCCTGTTTTAATTAATATTTGGCAAAATCATGAAAGATGATTTTGTCAGAACTATCTATCTTCATAGTGGGTCATGGGAGTGACATTTTGTGAACTAAGCACGAAGACCGTTTTTTCAACATTTTCTAATTTGGTTAAAACGTCATAATACGTTTACAGAATACTAGCTCAATGAACCTAGTATCTAGACCATAGAGTAATAAAAAGAAGAGGTAAAGCTTAGCTCAGATGTACACAACCGACCTCCCTATTAATTAATTAATAGGGTGGTCGGTTGTGTACATCACGATATGTTTACGTATCTAACACTGTACACTTGTATAGAATGTGATCGTATTTCTTTGAGGTGGTAATATGTAGATAATTGAAAATTAGTATTGATAATTAGATAGACACTTAATATGGATTGTAAACACAGGATTGTATACTGCAGTACATTCCAGTTCACTTGTTTGTTTATGTAAATAAAAGTATGATCTTTACATTATTATCCCTTTACAAAGCTCTGCTTTGAAAACAAAAACTAAGAGTTGTATTTTTTGACCATCTTGATTGTGACAATGTTGAAAATCTAGACACGGAAAAGAATGCGTTGTTATAGAATAAAAGACGATAAATCTCTAATGCAAGTAATAAATTCAAACCTGTTTAGATTTTACCCGGAAACATATCAAATTTATGTTCTAATCTTTATCGTCTATTTCTGCTCTCATATAATGATATAATACTCAGTACTCACAATACCTCTTCCTCTTTGTAATCTATTCCTTCTCCTCAACTTCTATTGGATTTTCTTAAGTTTTCAACTATTTAGTTTTATTAAGTTTTATTTTGATCATTTTATTTATTTTTATGACTTCAAAACAACCAGCAATGGTAAGAGAGGTCCTGGCTAAATTAAACTATAAAATAGTATCTACATTTATTATAGATTATTAAAATAGATATTTAGTCAAATAAATCTAATTATCTATCTATCTTTCTATTCTATAAAAAACGTAACGAATGGATCTGATCAATGTGGGACTGGGAGTATTCCTTATGCATCTCTGCTTTGAATTGAATTCTTTAATGCATAATTCTGTTGTTCTAACAAATTCTAAAAAGTATCTGAATTGAAATCGTATTTCACGATCCCTCATTATTTCGGGAAATAATTCGTGAAGAAACACTATAAGGAGGCAACATTCAAAGAAAAGGGGAAACTTGTAGGGGGGTGAAAGGGGAAACTATTGAGGGGGTGAAAGGGGAAACTTGCAAGGGGGTGAAACGGGAAACTTGTAAGGGGGTGAAAAGGGAAACTTGTAAGGGGGTGAAAGGGGAAACTTGTTTGGGGTGAAAGGGGAAAATGGAAAGAATGCAAACTTTAAAAACTAAGTAATGAAAGCTTCCTTTTCAGGGAACAGAAATTCATTCTTTGATTATCGATAAAAACAAAAACAAATATATAATTTATAACGGTTTTCTTTCTAAAGAAACAAAAAATTACAAATCAGAAATGTCGTTTCAAATTTTTTCTCTCTGATTTTTGTAAACAACCATTTTCCATTTCTAAAAATACTTATAAATAAAATCAGATATTTATTAAACAGGACTCAAACTTCTTGTTTTTCTTTATCCATGCTGTTAAAACCTTGTTAGAAATCAAAATTGAAATATATTGATAAGTACGACGAGACTGTAAAAAAACAGGAGTGAATAACATAGAAAAAGATTAATAATAAATTGTTTATGCTCGGTTGAATAAAACTATAGCATATAACTGTAAAATGTAATCTAGACTATATATAGTGTATGTGCATAAAACATAATTTAATGATATGCGTATATTTATATGGCTTACACTAACTCAACTCCTTTATGGAGACCCAGTTCATAACACGTGTATGCA